TCGGCCTCCTCTTTGCGGTCGGGGTTCTTGTCCGGGTGCCACTTGAGCGCCAGTTTCCGATATCTGTGCCCATCATCGGTGGTCAGCACGAGTTTTGGGATCAATTCAGTGACAGTTCAGTCATCATGGAGATCATAGATATAGCAAAAAACTTACGCCTTTTTGATATCATTTGTGTCGGCATTTCGTGGCACTTCCAGCACTTTATAGTAGTCAACCATCGCGTGCGAGTGTCTTGAGATAATCAGTGGTTATTATCACAGAATTTGGTGTAAGTGTAGTCTTCGTGTGTCCAGTGAATCGCGTCGACCACCAAATGGACGGACAGATTGGCAGCAAAACAGTCACTGTTTTGGTGGCAAACAAACGCTAATCAACTGTCAAACGAGTGTCACGTATGTGTGTGTGAGTCACGCACTCACGCGCTGCAGTCACGCAAACAAAACTGCAATAGATTTGTGTGGAAATGAAATGAGATTTAAAACTAAACGCAAATTAAATGTCAATTCAATTGTTGATCACTGTTTGCAAATACAGCAGTCATTTTGATTACGTCACGAACGCGAAAAGGGGGTAAATGGGAGCTATATATGCTATAGAGTTGCGCCCTTATTGCACTTGTCGNGCAGTCACGCAAACAAAACTGCAATAGATTTGTGTGGAAATGAAATGAGATTTAAAACTAAACGCAAATTAAATGTCAATTCAATTGTTGATCACTGTTTGCAAATACAGCAGTCATTTTGATTACGTCACGAATGCGAAAAGGGCGTAAATGGGGGCTTTATAGGATATAGAGTTGCGCCCTTATTGCACTTGTCGCTCATACAAGGGTATGTGTAAAATGGCTATATTTGTATGCATTGGCATTGCATTGAGCGCTCAATAAATGCAATGTTTAGGAGTTTTTTGTTGAAAAACTAATTGAAGTGTCGATCGACTAATGAATACCTATTTATGGCGTTCACTACAACTCGCGTACAAACAGTCCATAAGTGTCTGTTTGGGTCACTCGTGGCGTACGTGCAGTGCGTCCAGTGGTCGCCCGTTCAGTGACACAAGTGTTGAGATATACGACACAAACAGTTATATAATAAGCGGACAATAAGTGTAACACTAATCGTATAAACAGTTCACACTTTTGTGACTCAAATAGTGAGACAACACCAGAGCTTATGCTTGAATAGTGTGTGCGCACAGGTATGGGGACATACAGTGCCAGCCAAGGGGTGGGACAGTTGGCTCACCAAACATATGGGAAGGGAGTGGTGAATGACTTACTGTTTTAGTTGATTGAACTTCACTTGCAGTCGGATTCACCAGAATTTCCAATCAATTCATTCAATCCGTGAATAATAGTCTATTGAATCGCTCAGACATTATGCACACACCATGTCTTACACGTACTGCACATGTATTGCCATTTATAACCAATTTTGTCCACTTTTTCCATTTAATTGGTAGAGTCTATGAATAGTTTGGTTTTTGCACTTAAGGTGTTCACCCATAGGGCTGGGCGTGCAGTGAATGCACCCGAAGTAGTGGTGCATTCATCTCATCCTTTAGTCCCTAAACACTAAGTCTCTCTCTCTCTCTCTCTCTCTCTCTCTCTCCGGAGTGTGGGCTCCGAAAGGGTCGACTCAATGCAATCCGTCAGACATGAGTTGCTTGAGGTGTCGTTCCCTTTGCATCCCAACCACCCATTCATTGAGATTAAAGTTATTGACCACTGATTACATTGACTGCCAGTGCAGTGATTCACTGCATGTGAATGCATATCAAAAACCCTTTTGTCTAAAAAGTTTTTCCATGAGATGTATAATGCATTCATAGACATGACATGACATGTAGTCTCTCTCTAACTGTACTATAAGTGATGCTTCACTCCAATTAGGAGCGACTCGTATGGTATGCCCTACTGTTAGACTACTTTATTTCGCAATACCAGTCCTATTATGATGAATGGACTCGACTTTTCAATTGCTGTAATTGTCGGCATATTATAGGGAAGTCATAAACTTAAGACCTTTTATGACCCGCTTTTCGCACCAACCATTCACTACTGATTCATGCATTTCTCGACACAAAAACAACAAATGATTTTATTTTCTTATTTATAAATTACACACAAAATGATTAAAAAATAAATTCATTTAACAAAACAAACTGAGAGTCAAGCGATTGGTTTGAATTGAATGTATGGGCGAAAGAGACGCCTAAATGGACGGCTCATTCATGTCTACATCGGATGTCTTATTCCTCGACTCGTACCACGACTTGGCTATTGTCCGCTTCATATCATCATCGCCCTCGTCGTACATCTGCTTCTGTTGTCATCCAATCATCGCATCATTGGATTCCAAGAATTAAATTAATGTAAAAAATGTGTTAAAACTTATAATCAATTCAATTATGCTATCGATTACTAAATCACACCAAAAGTGTGTTAAGGAATTGAGTGGAGAGAGAGAGAGAGAGAGAGAACTGTGTGAAGACATTACCATAAGTTTCATGAGTCCGGCCGACGGGTCGCCACTCATCTCCTCCTCCCTGTCGTCCAAAACCTGTTGAAACTTATTCTCCTTTTCCTGTATTTCCGTCCAGTGTTTCGGCGAAGACTTCTTGAGGTAAACGATAAGTTTATGCGATTTCGTGAGTCTGTGGTACGACTGGTCGGCGCTGACGTCGCCGAAGAGGCGACTGATTGTGAACTTATATTTGCCGAACACTACGGATAGGGATCTCTTGGAGGGGAACGACATCTGGATGTGTGTCGCGTCTAACGCATAGTTTTTGTCGATTTCGACATAGATTTTGCAGAAGTCGTCCGTTTGGTCCCACATGTAGTTCGTGACGACCACCGAACCCATCGGCGCCTGTTGTCCACTAGTGGCCGACCCCTGGGTTACCGGCACTGACGCCGAGTTGCTGTCGTCACCGGATTTGAGGAGCGCTTCGGCGGCCGCCTCTTCGCGCCATTTCGTCACCAATTGGTTCTTGCGTTGAGTGAGGCGTTGGATCTCTTGCGACAGCAGTGCCTTCGAGTGCTGTCGTTTGGCCATCAGTTCCAGTGATGACAAGTCCGACAAATCAAACTCCATCTGCAGAGACAATCAGTGGTCATAATGGGTGTCATAACACATGTGTTGTCTGTCAATGTCTGCACAGATTTCTTACGTCTTCGATGTCTTTCTTGAGTTGTGCCGCCATTTTGGGAGTCGTGTCGGCCGTGGATGTGCTTCAAAGTTGTGTCCAAGAGTTGAATCAATGGTTAGTTTTGTTGACAAACTGTTGTTGTGAATGAAAATCAATTTTTCGGACAATTTGTCAAATCCTTAAATAACGTTATGATTTGTCTCTATTTTGTGGCCCTTTTTTGTCAAATGACATCAATTTGTATTCATTTGTTTTACTAGTTTTGGTTATATTGTAACGCTATATACGAATGCATATAATATTAACGCAATGTTTTGACTGAAAACGTGGTTTTCATTCACAAAACATGTGATTGTCTTTCAAAACGTGTTTTTAAATTTAAATCCGTTTTTCATTTAATTGTCGTTTGAATCCAACCTCTTGTGAGCCATGAGTTGTTTCGGAGACATCACTAAACGTGACAACAATTTCGATGAGACACTGGAGACACGGGTCAGCCGTTTCGCCAAATGCAGGATCAGTTGCCGACACGTGTTGGTCACCCAAAGCCCTCATCTGGTGGCCAGTTATGAGACAATCGATGGCGAGTTAGTTCCCTACGAGAGCTGGACTTTCCCTCAATTGAATCGCCTGTCGGTTCCGGTGGTGACGAGTCTGGAGGCGGACGGCGTTGAGTACATGATTGCAGTACAAGAGCCCAATTCGGTGACCAAATGGTCGTTCGGCGACCACAAGACACGTCTCGAGAAGCACTTCTTCAACGCAAAGATAATCGGTTTAATCGATGGCGATGTGAGCGGTGGTGCGGAACCGGTGGTCGTCTACGACAACGGCTTCTGTCAGTTGCTGTCGACAGCCATCCAAACGAGACGTGAAGAGCACCACAAGAATGTCGTGGAAGACGAGGAATGCATTGAATNGAAAAACGGATTTAAATTTAAAAACACGTTTTGAAAGACAATCACATGTTTTGTGAATGAAAACCACGTTTTCAGTCAAAACATTGCGTTAATATTATATGCATTCGTATATAGCGTTACAATATAATAAAAACTAGTGAAACAAATGAATACAAATCGATGTCATTTGACAAAAAAAGGGCACAAAATAGAGACAAATCATAACGTTATTTAAGGGTTTGACAAATTGTCCGAAAAATTAATTTTCATTCACAACAAACAGTTTGTCAACAAAACTAACCATTGATTCAACTCTTGAACTCAACTCGCGATCACATCCACAGCCGACACGACTCCCAAAATGGCGGCACAACTCAAGAAAGACATCGAAGACGTAAGAAATCTGTGCAGACATTGACAGACAAAACATGTGTTATGACACCCATTATGACCACCGATTGTCTCTGCAGATGGAGTTTGATTTGTCGGACTTGTCATCACTGGAACTGATGGCCAAACGACAGCACGCGAAGGCACTGCTGTCGCAAGAGATCCAACGCCTCACTCAACGCAAGAACCAATTGGTGACGAAATGGCGCGAAGAGACGGCCGCCGAAGCGCTCCGCAAATCCGGTGATGACAGCGACTCGGCGTCAGCGCCGGTAACCCAGGGGTCGGCCACTGGTGGACAACAGCCGCCGATGGGTTCGGTGATCGTCACGAACTACATGTGGGACCAAACGGACGACTTCTGCAAAATCTATGTCGAAATCGACAAAACCTATGCGTTAGACGCGACACACATCCAGATGTCGTTCCCCTCCAAGAGATCCCTATCCGTAGTGTTCGGCAAATATAAGTTCACAATCAGTCGCCTCTTCGGCGACGTGTGCGCCGACCAGTCGTACCACAGACTCACGAAATCGCATAAACTTATCGTTTACCTCAAGAAGTCTTCGCCGAAACACTGGACGGAAATACAGGAAAAGGAGAATAAGTTTCAACAGGTTTTGGATGACAGGGAGGAGATGAGTGGCGACCCGTCGGCCGGACTCATGAAACTTATGGTAATGTCTTCACACAGTTCTCTCTCTCTCTCTCTCTCTCTCTCTCTTACTTTTCCACACTTTTGATGCGATTTAGTAATCGATAGCATAATTGAATTGATTATAAGTTTTAACACATTTTTTATATGAATTTAATTCTTGGGATCCAATGATGCGATGATTGGATGACAACAGAAGCAGATGTACGACGAGGGCGACGATGACATGAAGCGGACAATAGCCAAGTCGTGGTACGAGTCGAGGAATAAGACATCCGATGTAGACATGAATGAGCCGTCGATTTAGGCATCCCTTTCGCCCATACATTCAATTCAAACCAATCGCTTGACTCTCAGTTTGTTTTGTTAAATGAATTTATTTTTTAATCATTTTGTGTGTAATTTATAAATAAGAAAATAAAATCATTTGTTGTTTTTGT